GGGGGGGGGGGGGGGGGGGGGGGGGGGAGAAAGGATCCAATCCAAAAATAATTGAAACAGATTTTTAATCAAATGTTTTGTAATTTAATTGTGAATGCTTTGATTGTATTCTGTGTTTTATTTGCCAAAGACCGGAAAGATTCCAGCAATGATAGCAAGCTAGACTGTATGCAATTTGGAGGTAGTTCAGATCTATGTATTTAACTGTAATATGATTAAAATAAAGTGACAGTTAATAGTAAACGTGCTTAGGAAGTTGTTTGATGATGTCACCGACATTAAAGCAATCCACATTTATAGGTGTGGCTACAAAATGATGTACAACCAGCAGTCCTTGCTGTTACAGTTTGTACCCACAAGCAGTCTTGACTGTTAAAAGCCCTAGAAAAGTGTTCAGGATAGCTTTTACAAAACTGACACCTTAATCTTTACTTTCTCTGAATTATGACTCATATGTATCATACAACTAGCACTTGATTATGTCCTTACTACCTCATGTAGTTCTTTTCTTTTTTGTGTTGAGTAATTTGTCCATTTCTGAAAGTCAGGGACTATCTCACTTTATTGTTAAAATAGAGTAGCTGGCGGCATTATATGTTGAAAATTATGAATTTTAACTTGACAAGTGACCTCCATCCAGTTTCGAGGCTTCTGGTTAATTTCTGTCCTTTGGTTAGTTTTTATCATTTTATTTTCGGGAGACTTGCTGGCAGAAGTTCTTCCACATATCCATTCCTGTTTCCCTTCACCCTCCCCTCTCCCTCCTATTTTTAAGTGCTGTTTAGTCTCCTTTCTTCCTAGTTCATTTTCTCAACAAACCACACTTTGCTCTCTGTATTTTTTCAGCCTCTTGTTCATTCTTCTGGGTCAGGGAGAAAATATCCATCTGTAATAAGCATACAGTGCATATCGATTGAATGAATACATTAACAACTGTGTACCCAAAAGTTCTTTGTGTGAAAGTTCTATATTTGCCCTAAGTTCATTTAATTGAAGTTAGGCTTCACTGGTTTATTTTTTTTTTTAATTTGGACGTTCACATCTTACAGTCTCATATCAAGACTGTCATGTCATCATTGTTTGTTGAGAAAGCATGTCTAAGTATTTCATTGTCATTAAGAACAGATTGGTTAAACCTCTCAGGATGAGGACCTGCATGTGCTTGACTTTGAACCAGCTAATAATTTAGGAGCAAAGAAATCCTTAAGGGTGGGAAAAACAGGTTCCAGAAATACCTTTTTCCGTGATAAAAAGTAGAGACACAAGAAAAGATGAACAGGGCAAGATCTAATTTTAAACTCCTGGAGGACAGGGACTTTTTTCCTGGGTATATCCTAGGCATTGTTTATAGTACCTGGCACATATAGTAGGTACTCAATTAATATGTTGAAGTAATGACTCATACTTTGGGATGCTCTTTGGCATAGTGTTAGGCATTGAGAAGGTACTTGGCTTATTTAAAATTTTCCTCAAAGTTACGGTCAGTTCCTTCTGCTTGTCTACACACAGCAAATCCCCAAGTCCTGTCCTTTCTACCTCTGTGCAGTCTCTTAGTCTCTTACATCCATTCCCTCCTTTCCTCTTCTACATTGTTGTCCTCTTGCTTGGACTTTCGGTAATCTTGTTCAAACACAGCATGGGTTTGCTCTGAAAGCTTTGGTTCTCCATTGCCTTCGGGACTCTAGCTAGCTTACCTATGATTCCAACAATATACTTCATTAGGCCACTGGACATACTTTGTAGCCTCTCAATTCCCACATACCTTGATTTTATGCTTCCATGTCTCTCTTTATGTAGTCCATCTGCCAGGAGTTTTCTTTACCACATGTGTTCATTAGGTCTAACCCCTCACTTAGAGCAGTGTTAATCTCACTTTAATGTGACTGAACAGAGAAGCATGGTCCCTGGACCTCCATGCATCAGAATCAACTGGAATGCTTGTTAAAACAAAAAAAGCAGATTTCCAGGCCTCGTCACCTGAGCAAACAGCCATAGGTAATTTGGATTAATTTGCTCCCCCTCTCCCCCCAGTAATGCATTAGGGACGTGTCTCATATGAAACTTCCCCAGTCTTCCCAGCTGGAATGCATCTCTCTGCACTGTGCTCTCCCTAGTGTGGTTTTTGCTAACACTCATCATAGTACCCCAGGTGTTAGAGTCACTTACGTTCATGTTGGGATCTCTCACTAACATGGAAGCTCCTTTGGTATGCCTTGTTAGTCTTTTTCTCTCCCACTAGCATAGGGCCTGACACCTAACTTTATATCCTCATTTTTTAGACATTCCAAATTACAAGGGTCTTCTAGGAAAAAAAAAGAAAAAAGAAACATTCTGCATTCAGTTACTTCTGGGAAATATGAATTATTTCTATGTGCTAGTTTGTTAATTTTCCAGGAAATGGGAAGTCCTTTTATTATATAATTTTTTTTGTCTCTTATAATTTTAATGTCTTTTTGTTATGTTTAACAACGCCCGCGCCTGTGTGTGTGTGAGAGAGAGAAATGGTAGGGGAAATGGTAGGAGTTAGCAGATAAAGTAACTAAAATTAAAAGTAGCCTTTTTGTTTCAACTAATGATTGATTATTAAACTTATTACTGCAAATTAAAGTGAAAAAAATACAGTTTTTAAGGCTCTTCGTGACTTAAAGTTTGCTTAAGATAAATACTTGCCCTTCAACCAATTTTTTTTGGACAAGAGATAGGGTAGTGATAGCACAGCTTAGGTTTTTAGCAGGCCACTCTATGTTAGTAATAACTTTCGGTGCAAACATGAATGTTTTCTTTCCTAAGTTTCAAAGGCAAACATTTCCTTTTCTGGTTAGGTCCATAATGGTTAAGCTAAATAGATTACTGTGGAAAAGAAAAACTTAAGATTCATGTTCTTGTTATAACATAAGGTACTCTTCTAGTTATTAAAAACCAGCACATTGGGGATAATATGTAAGGTACTTCAAAAAATTCGTGGAAAAATAGAATTAAAAGATAATATGATGGTTGAGAACCACAGAGGGGAAAAAAAAGATAATACTAATCTTTCCATGAACTTTTTTTTATCATGAGAAGTGATCTCTTTCAGTCCTAGATTAAATATTTGTAATACTCTGCTTTGCCTGTATATTCAGTATAGCTTGCCTCTGTATTAATGAGATACCCTGACTTTGGAAAACCTTTTCATGTGACAA